ACCCTGTGGCAAAGAGTAACAGCTGGTGTGTGAATGCAAACATTATGGTATTGCCAATATGATATTTGTTTCTGTTACAGTTGGGGTGTTTTAGAAGGAATTTGCAACAAGCAGCTTATTCTGACATGCCTTTCTTTACAGAAGAGCATTTCCCATTTTGCTACCTGCCTTCTCGGACTGCAGTCACTTGGCTGTGACTAAGACATTTACTGAGAATCTGGGTAGAGGCAGGAATCGAAATTGGGTTGGGGTGGGAGATGAAGAGGGCCTTCTGACAAGACAGGCTGCTTGACCAAACTTTCCTTACACATATCTCTGCAAATATAGCAAATAGCAAAATGCTATTTCTTCAAAATAAGAATAGACTGGACAATATTTAAAGATAAGGACTTCCAGATGTCCTGCTTATATTGTGGAGACATATACAAACATTTTCCCAAAATCTAACTACAGACACTGCATGTTCGTACCCTGGTTTAGTTGTGAATTCCTTCATGCAGAACAAAAAGCTACCCCCTACCCTGTGATCATCTGGCCTGGACTTTCTGTTGTATTACAGCATTTTAATAGCTGTAGTGGTCCAGAAACACCACCGCATAAGCCCAGGGGTACCCTGGAACTAGAACTGGCACCTTACCCAACTGGATACTGTCCTGTGAGGCTTTGAAATTCTTTGGGTCTGATTCTTGTCCTAATTGCACTTCTGTAAATCAGGAATCAGCAGCATGACCTTCACTGAATCAAGATCAGAGTTGGCCCCTTCTGAACAGCGAACTGTCAGCTAGCAGGAGTGATTGAAGGCTACTGTTCCAAGTGATGCACAGCCTTAAAGTTGCTGCCAGCCTCAGACCCTATTGGATTGCTCTAACTGGCATTTTTGAATGCCTGTCAGTAACAGAGCTCTGCAATACCAGTTTTAAAAACAATAAGAGATGCCATTGTGAATATGATGCCTCTTAACTTTGTGGAAAGAAAGGCGCTTTTTCCTAAAACAGACTTGACAAGTGAAGTAGGTGATTGGAGAGCTGCTGATTTCAGCCCCTTGAAAAGACAACAAAAGAAAAGGCAGAGGGAGGAAAAGGAGAGTAATGTGTACGTTATCTCTGAACCTTCTGCTATAGCTCTGCAGTGCGAGATAGCATTACAGAGGTACCTGAGAATGAAGCGCTAACCAAAGACTTCCAGAGCCACAAGCTAAGCAACACAGCAGATGTTCTCAGTAGTTAAAGAGCATTTACCTCACACTAACTAAAAATCTACTGGAAGTTGTGCCTTATGACCTGTTGTGCTTCTGCTGAGCCTGTCAGCTCCTCCACAAAATAAAAGTGATTTAGCAAAGGCTTGGACTAGATGCCTCTAAGGACACTAACTTCTTTGGTCTGCAACCTATAATAGCCCCATTAAAGACCCTGCTAAAAGGGTTACATATTCAAGGTTTGAAAGTGTAATGAGGTAGACAATTCTACCTAGAAGCCCTTATAAAACATTTCACAAAGAAAGATTAATTTGGTGTCATGCCAGTAGAAGCACGCAGTGTTTGGGACCCTGCTTTCTGGAGTGACTTCGTACACACTTCCATTCATCCGTAACAATTAACTTGCATTTTAGGCAATTAAGATAAATCAATGTAAAATACGCAAAACATTTTCTAATGCAGCCTAATCTTAACCTTCCTGTCTAAACAGCTGCTTTAAAGAACTCCAGACCTGCTCTGTAGGTAGATCAGAACAAGAAAAAAAAAAAAAGGCTTCACAAATGTCTGGGTAGAAACCATTCTCCCCCTTCCTCCCTTATGTTGGGTGCAAGGAGCAGCAAAACCACAGATTATCACCTTGCTTAACAAAAGCATTACAAAAACGTTGCTGTTTCTCACATGCACTAATAAAATCCCCTTTCTCTGAGGGACTGGGGCTGTGCAAATTTTAGATAATATAGACTGGCTGTCCGTGTTGACTCCCACTGAACATTACCTTATACTGCAGCAAGTCCCTCTGGCAGAACACATATTTACTGTTCAAATACCTGAAGGGAGCTGCTTCTGGAAAGAGATCAATATGGGGAGGGAATGGTCGGATCCTGCCCCTACATATAAGAGTATTACACATTACATGAATTGTCTACAGAGACTTCCTTCAAGAACAAGAATTTAGGCATGGGAATTTGGTCATGCCCCTCCCCCTTATTCCTCTTCTCCCATGAAAAAGGTGTTGGAGACCCTTATGTATGAATCAAGTCAGCAGCAAAGGGCCCTCTGACTCCATTTTAGGCGTCTCAGATTTCATAGCACAGACTAAAGGCTAAACGGTTCATTCTGCTACTGACCAAGTGATTCAAGTCAAAAAGGAAAGCACTTTAAGCAACAGCACGCTGCAATTGCCCTGTTATTGGGCAAGCACTTTCATTGTCAGCTTATGAAATTCATCTCACCAAATCCTCATGGGCTAACCTGGACGGAAAAGATCCCAGCATCTGAATTAAGATGTTAATCAATGTTCAAAATTAAATTACTTTATTATTCCAGCACTGACCAGTGATCATTCATCTATGATAGAAAACCAGCAGAGAAGTCTGTTCT